GTGTGCCAAAAATGCATTGAAACATCATGGTTAAACGGAGAACAGATTAACCTTATATAATAAATTCCAAATAATCAAACATTTTCAGGAGCAATAGCCTATTCGAGATAGTTTATAGAGATGTCAGCCTTATTAATCTTAAGAATTGATAGGCAACTTTACTGTTCATGGACCTACAGCGTAGGAGCAAAAAATAGATGCAGCTACACGTAACATTTTAATAACACTGTAAAAATTACATGATCAATACGATCTGACAACATGTTTTTACATTGCTATAACTCATCAAAATAAGCAATTAGTGCACTTTTCTAAAGCAATTTCCGACTTTTTTTTTATAAGTTATAGATTAGCTTTTTTAAAGTCAGTCAAATTGAAATCACATCCACATTGATTTTATTTAAAAAAATAGAATCAGAAACCTTTTTACAGTGAAATATATATATATTCATCATGGGACATTTACTTATATTAAATAAACTATATAATTACTGTCATTTTTTTGGTTTTGTTTTTTGCTACCAAGCTCTGGTTAATTTCTTGATCACATGTTTCTAATTAATTATTCATAAATTCGTTATTTATATCTGCTGTCCAAATCCAATGTTTGCATTTTATGTTAACTTTTCCATTATTTACGATTTTATAGCCTAATTATTTCACATCCTACACAAAAACAACACGTTAAATGTAGCTAACACATGTTGTGGAATCATGTTTTGCTTTCGTATTTCATAGGTTAGCAAAGGTATTCAGTGTCAATATATACCATAGTGTTAAAGCAAATATTCACAAAGAATTTACTATTGCTCTTTTTTTATAGTCTATGCTCCCAAGCGATTTAGTAATGATTTCCGCGGGTTTTTATTGCCCAGTTTAGTGACGTAATATCCGGTACATTCAGCGCCCGCCGCCCATTCAAACCTTCAGGAGGAGGAGGAGGAAGCTGAAAGTGTGCAGTCTGCAGAGCATGAGAACACAGTGAGTTTGACAATTCAGCTGTATGCAATAGTTTTCATCTGTCAGAAAGAAAATATATATGCGGAATGAATAAGCCAGACAGTGATTTAAGCAGCAGGAAGTTAGCTAGAGCAGAAGCTAACTTTGTTGTTTACCTCAGAGAAGTGCAAGACAGTGTTTTACACTTTTGCTTCTTTTACATCGGCTCCATTTGCTTGGCATTAAGAAATGCATACTGCAATGAAACGTCTATTTGTGAAACTAAAGATGTATTAAATAGTCTTGCACTCTACAAAGTCCTAATATAAAGATTTTAGATTTTAATCAGAAACACATTCAAGTGATTAATGTTTACTGAAGTTAAACGCGAGCGATATTGTTTCATGTTGATGCTAACGTTACCATTGACAGTAATGGCAGCCGCTTTTCTGCATAAACATCAATGTGTAAACTCAATTACAAAAAGGCCAACAGTTATTGCAGCTAAACAACATTTCCCTCACCAGATTCCAAAAAAATAAAGTGAACCATATCTCTTTCTCCCCATTGTCATTATCGTCTAGCGTGTTTCTGCCTGTGTTTGTGGTAAATGTGCCCGAGGAGCTGTTTCCTCTGACATTAGCTGTTGTGATGTTGGCATTAATACTGAAGCGTTTTGTTAACAGGAGCTCATAGGGTCACACTACCATGTTCCTGAAGCTCTTTTTACACTCGAATATATCCATTTAAACACAGCACAGGATTACGCCATGAATGTGTGAAAGCTTTGCTTGTCCAGTCTAAGCATATTATGGTTATGCAGTGCATAACATAAGGCATGTTTTACTGCTTTCAAGTCTACAACCATTTTTTTTGCTTTAGTAAATCTTATAAAAACACACATTCCAACACACATTTATGTTAAAACACCATGTAAAAGTGAATTTTGCATAATAGGTGCCCTTTAAACATTTAATTTGTGAGTTCTCAGCTGTTAGAAATGTATGCACCATATGTATGCATAATATGCAACTAAAATCACTAGAACTAGAGTAGTTTCAATGAATTTTAAAAACCTTCCAGCAAAAAAAAAAAAAAAAAATTCTACTGTTGTCCATCAATCATGCTCAGATTGTTCAGGATGCAACTGGTTGCGTGTTGCTGTGACGTTTGTTGTGTAAAATGGTGTATTTACTAGAGCCAGACCGATATATCGGCAGACTGTTATTATCGGCCGATATTAGGCATTTTCCAAACTATCGGTATCGGCAGTTATAATGGCCGATAAATGAATATTTCAAAAATAAAATAAAAACAGACTAAACACGCTTGAACCATATCATGAGTGTTGGAGTTGTATAGTTTGTCCACCAGAGGGCACTCTACACCGTTCCTGTTAGCAACACTCGTTGAGTTGGTCACGATACATACATTTCTTGAATAACAATTAAAAGAACATCCCCATCAGTTCTCTTAACTCAAATAAGCATGACAAAATTTGTGACTAATCATCTACAGTTTCAAAAATAAATAAATAAAATATCGGCCGATATATCGGAATATCGGATTTTAAAACCCAAAAAATATTTGTATCGGTATCGGCCTTAAAAAATCCTTTATCGGTCGGGCTCTAGTATTTACTTTGAATTGTGTTTTTAGGTCATGATTTTGGAAAAGGGAGGGGGGAAAAATGTCTAGGCTAATTAATTCTTGTTTGGAGTTGAGAAATCCCTTCAGGAATTAATTAGAGACACAATCTATTGATTTTTCTGTCTTTTCTTGAATTCTGTGCTTTTAACAGTAAAGCCTAATTCACTTTGTGCAGGCTTAGTTCCTTTCCGTTCCACTTCGCTTGGTTTCAATTTCCTTTCTGGAGTGCCTGGGAGAAATGCGTAGGAATATTCATAAGTGCTAACAACATCACTACGGCTCATCCTGATGCCCTGTGTAATGATGTCTTCTGTAGGTAGTCTTGGGGCGAATAAAACAACTGGATCAAAATGTGCAGTGTAATATATCTGCAGTGCCAAGACATCTAAATAAGGTTTTTTCAGGGACATATCTGAAACCGGGAAAGCAAACATTAGTTCTGTCACAGTTTATTGTCATGCTCCTTCAGTTCTGAATTGAGGTGAGGAGACGCATGATTAATTCCAACCCTTTTAAACAGTTTTAAAAATCATTCAGTGTGCTTTCAGTGCAGTCTAAATCGTTGGATTTATCGGCTTTTCGATCTGAAATGATGTGGACTTTCTGTCACCCGACCCGTACGCTTTATTTTGGGTGTATTTAAAAACACTCTTCAAGGTCAGTGAAGATGGTGACACTCTTACCCATAAGCCCACTCAGTTTAACACACTCTTACCCAGGGGCCTCTAACTCAAATTAACAGGGGGCCGCCAGTCAGGTGGTGTTTTCAACAGATTCATCCAAATCGAGTTCCTGAATTACTCCGTGTTGCCAAGAGAGTTGAGGCTTAGCCGGCAGGTTTGAAGTCCATTGGTTCCACTTCCAGCTGGCTCTGTTGCTCTTTATGGTGTGTTTAGAGGTGTAGAAATTTGTTCTGACATGCGATTTTGGTTGCAGTCGTACTATGCAAATGCAATGCATTGTGAAATCAGAAATTGGGCCAAAAATCCGATCAGTTTTGATTGAGTCATAATTAGCGAAAATGCACCATTTAAAAAGTGCATTTTGTAATAATGCTTAATTTTAAAAGTATATTATTTTAAATAATTGTGTTTTTTTAGGGATGCGCTAAAATTTTGATGGAATTCATATGATATTTTTTACACCTCTAGTCCTGTTTTATGATTAGATTCATCAGATTAAAGGAGTAGTTCACTTTTTTTTTAAAATTGTTGATAATTTACTCACCCCCATGTCATCCAAGATATCCATGTCTTTCTTTCTTCAGTCGAAAAAAATTATTAAGGTTTTTGATGAAAACACTCCAGGATTTTCTCTATATAATGGTCTTCAGTGGGAACCAAATGGTTCAAGGTCCAAATAAGAATTTCAGTGTCGCTTCAAAGGGCTTTAAACGACACCAGACGATGTATAAGGGTCTTATCAAGCGAAACAATCGCGCATTTAAAAATAAATAAAAAAACTTTTATAAGCACAAATGCTCGCCTTGCTCTGTTCTGTGATGAACGTCCATGACTTTTCTGTTCGAACTCGTTCATCAAAACGAACAAATCTTTTTTCGAGTCGTGACTCGAAGGGTCCTAGATAAGGGTCCAAGTCTTACCCTTATTCATCGTCTGGTGTCATTTAAAGCCCTTTGAAGCTGCACCGAAACTCTCATTTGGACATGAACCGTTTGGTTCCCATTGAAGTCCATTATATGGAGAAAATCCTGGAATGTTTTTATCCAAAACCTTAATTTCTTTTCGACTGAAGAAAGAAAGACGTCGACATCTTGGATGACATGGGGGTGAGCAAATTATCAGCAAAACTTTTTTTAAAGTGAACTACTCCTTTAAATCGGAGCCATTTTGCACGTGCATCCAGCAGATGTTGTTTACAAGGGTTTGAGATTCGAGACTCTCTGGGACTGTAAAGGCCAGAAGGTCTATAAAAGATCAAGACCCTCGATGGACCGCTCTCCCAGATGTTCAGGTCTTCAAGAAGCTCCTCCAGTGCATAGAATGAAACGTCATTTCCTCTGGATGGGTCGTTGTACATGCTTGTGTTTCAATGGAGCCGCTTGAGAGGTTTTTCATATCAGGTTTGCCTCCACTGATTGAAGGCGAGCTGCACTGGTAGTCTTTTCAGATCAGAATTAATTAGTATAATTTGTCATCCACACCATTTTCTCAAGATGCTTTTAGGTAGATGTTTATCAGTTCAAACACATGGACACGCGCGTGTACATGCAATTCTTCATTCTCAATTATTCAAACGTCTATTTTTGTGGCTCGATGCCACATGGGCTTAATTGCTTCTGAGAGGTTTGCCATGTGACTTTGGCACGGACCGGTATGTTGCTTTAGTTCTCATGATGCATTTTTTCTTTTGCTTGGAAACATGCACAGTTATTTTTCTTGATGTTACAGACATGTCAGTACAAAAAGTCAAAGATTCATCTGACCTAGACGCCAAGGTCCCTGCTCATCTCCGGCGCACATCTATAACAGGCCTCACAGTGACCTCTGACCCCTCACACAGATGTGTTAAGGTTTGATGCTGCTCTTTCAGTGGTTTCTGTTTTAACATCCTCTGAACTTTATACACAGAATTACAGCAAAATGTAGAATTTACTGACTTTTTGCACCTTCTGTTTTCTAAAAAAAAATGCATTTGTGCATTCATTTTGATTAGAGCAAGACATCATTTGTACTTTTAATCCTTCTTGCTTTATGATGACTGATACAGATTATTATTATTATATGGAGTTAAATAATTTATTATACGAATTATGATGAAATTTTAATGATGGTGTTTCTTTTTTGACACAATAATGACTACAAAATAGGATCATTAGATTACAACTATAAAAATCAAGAATGTATTATTATTTTTGAAAAAATATATAATTGTATTAATAACGATAACAATCTGTTATTAGACATTTAACAATAACAATATTATATGAAGTTATATTATATGGGTTATAAGAAAATAATTCAATTTCTCAGATTACAGCTATAAAGAACTATGCATTATTTGTATTATTATTATCACATATATTTATTTATTATTATTATTAACTTATAAACAATAATGTATTTCTATTATTATTATCATTAACTTATTATTTAAAATATCATAATAATTAATAATTTACCATTGTTTTGAGATCTGAATGGTCACAAAAAGTATTACATGTGTATTAAAATTCATATAGACAAATATTAAAAATATCAAATGTTAAATTCTTTTGGCCACTTTCTAATTGTTAAGCTGCCACATATTTTTAAGAATTGATATATATATAGAGAATTGCTGGTAATGATGGTTTGATGTGCATTTGATCTAAGGTTTTATGGCGTGGAAGTGGATTAATACTTCATAACTATTGCTATTCAGTTCTTCAAGTGCTTATGGGAGTTATTTCCTCTGAACAGGCTCGAGTGGTTCACAAAGGTCCTATGATATCCTGCGCACAGAAAGATGGCATCGAAATGCTTAAAGCCGAGATCAGAGGTGAGTTTCCCCATTTGAATTTCAATTCAAAGACAAAGATCATGAACAAGCTTGAGATGCATCAAGCTGATCTGTTTTGTCAGCAGCGACACACTCAATCTGTCTGGCATTCACACCTCGCATCCTGTTTAAAGCTGCTCTGGCGCTTTGGGTTTTAAAAGATTTGTATAGAAAAATCTGCCGTCCAGACTGCATGGCTTTGCTCCATTAAAATGTTAACTAATATACTGCCGCTGGATTTTGTGCTGTGATGTATCTCGAAAAAACAGACACAACATAAGGCCAATTTGATTGCCTGTAGTGGCTTCTTCAAAGCATGCTTCAGACTTACTCAGGTTTATGATTTTTAGCTCTCTGCAATGCAGATTTTCCGTCTTGGAATGAAAATGTAGTCAGTCTCACTCTGTCCTTGCTGTTTTCTCTCTCTTTCTCAGAGAAGGACCTCCCTCAGAGTACCACTGAACACACATCAATCAACGTCATTTTCTTTGGCACATTGGCCAAGGACTTCTCCCAGTCTGTCAGACAAGGGGTAGGCTTCTATAAAACTTTAAAATATTCATTGGAGTATTTGGAAAATATATGGAAATGCACTTATTTTTCAAGCTGTCAAGATATAAAAAGGAAGGAGGAGGACTGGGTCATATAGCTAAAGTAGATATTGATGGGTTTCATCTCAGTGTTTGTGTATTTGCCCTAGAAAGCCCAATTGTGATTGTTATTATTTAAAACATTTTTTTTTTGCATTTTGACTAAACGTCCCATACCATATATTTAACATATGAGCAGAAATTGGCGAACAAGCTACGGTAGATCGTAGGGATGCAACGGTACACGGTAAAATCCCGGACCGTTCGGTCAGCCCTGCACGGGACAATCTAACCTCGTGTCCCGCGGGACTTCGGTTCTGCCATAGAGTTCGTGCTGATCCTTTAACCGTATTTTCCGCACTATAAAAGGCGCACTTAAAAGCCTTTAATCTTCTCAAAAAACAACAGTGTGCCTTATATTAGATCCATATCATATATGGATTAAATTCGCCCGCGAACTCGCGCTCGTGTCCAGCTTATGCCCGCTTTGTCACACGGCCAGTTCAACCTTCAAAACAGCCAACTGTTGTTAGTGAGCCGCCGCACATTGAATAATATGAGTCAGGCTGCGAATGTAAGTTACGTGCCCGCCCCAGCGCGCTCACGCACTAAATAAACGCTCACCTCCGGCTCCGTAGCCTACTCTCTACATTCCCAGCACATAGTGGATGCATAACGCAAACCCAGTCAAATGTTTGACTGCAGTATATTTTTGCACAAGAATCTCTCAAAAGTGGATTAGTAACATTGCACTTTGTATCCTGAATGCAGTATTTTTTTTATTATATTATTTTGCTCTGCTCTTTTTATTCAAACCACAAGCTAATTTTTGTTAAAGGTAAAAGTGCACTTTTTCTTTCACATTGATCACTTCATTTACCAGTTATCAAGGTTTGGAATTGGGATCCACTTGAATATTTTAAAGTGTGCTCGTTTACATTTTGTATATCATAAGTGGTATTTGAAGAGGTTGTATTGCTTAGTGTTGTTCAGTACAGACTAGAGTGTTAATTTATTCCATACACATTGATGTTCTTCCTACTGTGACATTCCGTTTATGCTCATAAGAAAAATAAAACATATTTTTGGGATGAAATAGCAGTCTCTTTCTGCACAAAACATGTACCGAAACCGAACCGAGACCGTGGCCCAAAAACCGAGGTACGGACCATACCGTGGGCTATCTGTACCGTTGCACCCCTAGTAGATCGCAATATGTCGACCTTCATAGAAGGGGTGCCCGTGGTTATGTAGATATAAATGTCTCATTCTAAGGTAATAAAAACATTATGGTTTATTAAGTTCTTTATACACCACTGAAAACATAGTCATGGATGTCATATTGCATTTCTGTTAATAGATACTCAATTTTTACACATTGCACCTTTAATAAGAGATTTTGTCCTAACAAGTGTGGGAACTGTGACAACTGATGCATGACCAGACATTTTGTCAGTTGTTTGGTTTATATTTTTGTCACATCGCGTTGAGTAGCCCTACCCACGGTAAAGTTTTGTTGGTCTATAATCTTGAAATCTTATGTTGCACCTGGTTAAGAAGGGCCACTTGAGCAAATCACTAGATTCTAAATGAATAACCAGTTTAAAATGTAATTTGTTAAAAAAAATGAAATGTTCTAATAATGTTGTGAGTGTCAATATGTTTCTTGAAGTAGATTAATTTATACTGCTGCTTTGATAGCAGTCAAAGAATCTAGCTACATGAAAGCCCTGCCATATTCAATGTGGCAAATATTTCTGCCTGGGTTCACTTACTTTGAAAACAGGTCATCTGATGTAACCTCAATTGTGTGAAGATGGTTTGAGAGAGTGCAAAGCACTTTAGTTGCATAGCCAGTATTTTTCTGCTTTTCTCCTCCAGCAACACAATGGTCGCAGCTCAGATCAGCTCCCCATTGACAGACAATGGCTTTAAGAGGGAAAATCAGCCTTGAGAGACGTGCCTTCAGTCAAAACTCTGGCGTTTACTCCCCAAGGATCCTCCTTTGTGTCACTCTCAAAATTATCTGTTACTTAATGGAAAAATCTGTTACTTACTGGCTGTGTCGACACTCATATTTCCCGGAAGGGTCTAAACTGGCTCTGAAAGTTCCTATTTTTCGAAGTTGGAGGTCAAACATTGTGATATTGTCATGAGCGTTTCATTGTATGACGGCAACTAAAAAATGAATTTATGAAGTGTAGAAAAAAAAATTGACAAACAACCTCCACTTTTCTTTGTTGTTGCCAGGAGCTTTTTCGAAAACAGATTATAAAACTGCCATTTGGCATGGGTATCAGCGTTTCTTAAAACAGTGGCATAAGATAAAGCTTTGAATTGATGAGCTATCGTGATTCTTGGCAACTCCTAATATGATGATAGAGCTAAACATTATCGGTCTAATCTTTGAATACCTGTGAGCAAGGATTAAACTCTTAGATGCGTTCTGTAAGTCAGCTTAATTTATCCAGATGCTGAAGTCTAAAAATAATCACAAGTTTGAATTTGATCCTAAAGATTAAGGGATGAGACGCCATTTGTTTGGTAGTCCTTTCCACTCAAGGTCATTGTTAGTGGTGTCTGTCAAAACAAGAATCTTTATTTTTGCTCATACTTGGCTTTTGGGGCTTGAATAAACCCGTTTGAGCTATACACATGAATGATACCTCAAATCATGTGGCTTGTTGTGCAGATGTTGTTTCTAAGCCATCGAATTTATGATTTTTGCCTGGTGAGTGATAAATCAGGCATAGAAGATCCCATGTACAGGACAAGGAACAAATAAGGAAATGTAATAACCAGATAAATTGAAGTGGAAAAAAACTGCTTTCTATGTCACATGATGCAACAAGCCTTTTTTTCTCTCTCTCTCGTTTTGTTTGAAGAATTCATTTATTGCCATTGAAACTCTTGTTCTCGACTTCCAAAGGAAGCAGGTTATAAATAATCAAGTTAAAAATTATATAGCAGCCTGCATATTTATAAACTGCATATGAATATTCAACCCGATCTCATTGCAATTCTGCTGTATTTTACAAGGTGGTTAATTCGTACAAATGCGTAAGATTTTTCCTTATTTCACGAGGTGTCCCATTTCTTATGAATTTGAACGAATGACCCACCCCTAAACCTATCTGTCACTGGTGTTTTTAAACTAAAACGTACAAATTTGACATAATACATCATGAAGTGCATTACAACAAAATGATTTTTTTATTTTGATTTTAGGATGTTGTCTTATTGGCAGACTTCACTATCAAAAAGTCTCCATCTTTTCTCCGAGACAAACTACATCCTTGTCAGCTAGAGATGGATGGCAATGACGCTTTTGTCTATGTGAGTGTTATGTGCTTGCATTTTTTAAAATCCCCATCATCCTATTCTTAAACATCATGAAAACCATATTTCTTACTATGTATTTTTTTCAATCGCTTGTTTTGTGATGTTTGATAGGTATGTTCCTCGGCTGCCCCCTCCCAAGGTCCCTCCTGTTCAGAGGTGCAGTATGCATTTCTTTTCATGTAGATATAAGATAGAAATCCTTTCCAATTTGTCCTAATACCATATATCTCGTTTATCCGCCAGAGATCAAGGAGATTCTTTATCTAAATTGGCTTGAGTCTCTTTCAGGTTGTCTCTGTTTGATTGATTGGCTGTTTCTTCACTTGAGTACAGCGTCCCTTTTAATTTGCCAACCTCGTTTACATTTGCTTGAGCCAGATCAAGTGCTTTAGCTCATTCAGGTCTAGATTAAATTAAGGAATTCTCTTGCCTCCATTGGATTTGTTGGCATTGACAATTTATATCTGATATAATTATTGTGCATTATTGTAACCATGTTATATATTATGCTCAAATATTTCAGTTTTCTGTTTGTGGTAATCAACATTAGGCCTTGTATTGAAGCCAGAACATTCATTTAATGGCAATATTCCCTGTTTCTGTGAAGGCCAAATACACTTATGTTCCTCTAAACAATTTGAAGCACAAGACAGTGGTGAACGTCTATGGTGTTGTGACCTTCTTCAAACAGCCTTTCCCCTCTAAAGGTTCAGGTCAGTGAATTTCCTTCATCCCAGCAAGGCTGTAATAGGCTATCCCATTGTTATTTGAGCTCTCTGGAGAGTGAGTCCAAAGGAAAAATGGCTTTCTAAATGACTTTTATGGCCACTTACGAAATATCTGTCAAAACAAAAACAGAGAGAGAGAGAAAAAACTTGGTTAGACCTTTAAGGTGTCCGTGTAACAGTCTAATTATACATTTAAGTACCTAGTAATAATAATTAACTGCATGTAATTACTTTAGGGTTAGGAATGGATTAGTGTTTGGTTTAAGATTAGTCACTTATAAATTATAGTTATTACTACATTAACTACATGTAACATGTAACAAGGACACTAGTGTTACCAAAAACAAATTTAGTTTGTAAGTCTACATTATTCTTTGTTTCAAAACAAAACTGCGCCCTTGGCTTGCTCTCTGCAGTTTTTGAATAAGATCATTTATACCATCAAGTCGCAGACTACATCTCAAGAAAAGCTGAAGCAAACCAATTGTCAAACAAATTTATTATGGTGCATAATTATACTACGTTCATGCAGTTTTCATAATCAATACATTGTAGTTCATTGATCATAACATGTACGCTGTGGTAAAATGCCAGAAATCAGTCTGTCACACTCAGGCTTGTTGAAGTAACAATGTTTTGATGAGTGATCAGTGAAGGGAATGGTGTATCATCTCTAAAAGGGGACCAATTGGTCCAGGATCAATGCATTTTCTCAGTTTTGAAATGCTTGGGCAAAAGCAGAAGTCTTAAATATCATCAAATTAAAGAAAATTGATTTGATTACATAAAATGAATGAAAACAGTTTACCATTGTTTGTGGCTACTTGTGTCATTAACTGTACAAACGGTACTTTAAGCCTTAACTACATTTAGTCATTTGGCATATTCACAACGGCATAAACCTCAAGCTGGAGTTTTTTTTTTAGTCTGTACCTCATTATTTGTCACTAGATTACTGCTCTACACTGAAGATCACAGATCAATCAGATGTTAAAGTGAGCTGCAACATCTTCTCTAAAAAACTGGAGGATCACCCTGTCATCTTCAGAGTTGGGGACATTATCCGACTCCACAGATTCAAGGTGAGGAGGTTTGACCTGTTTATTCATTCTTCAGAATATTGAAAGTGGGCCTAAACCACTCATGTGCTTTGAGTAGAGTTGTCCAGTTCTGGTCTTGGAGGGCTACCTTTGCTGTAATTCAACACACCAGTCTACTATAAGTTGCGTTGGAGCAGGTTGCATCTAAACTCTGCTGTAGTGCAGCCCTCCAATAGCAGAAATTGTAACCCCGACTTAAAGCAATCTAGCAGTACCACATATTCCCTGAAGTTACCCGTACATCGCCAAGATATTGGTGAAAGAGTCTCTGGAAAGCCTCTCTTTTTATGTGAACCATCTCTTTTATGTAAGCTGAATAATAAACTACAGTTGAGTTGGCACTGTTGATGGCCTGCAATAGCACAGTTAGTTTGCAGACCTCACAACAACTAGAGATCTGTCAGTGTCTGTAAATTCAGCCTAAATCTTAAAAACGTTGGTCAAATGTAATTCTAATACCCAAATAAATGTTTTGGCGACATGACTTCATTCAGACTTTAAGACTAAATGTATCTTTTTCCATTTCCTCCCAGACAGGAATATTCAATGACTCCATGACACTCTTGAACACTTATGGTTGGTCTGCAGTCACATTCGATGGAATAATTGACAGCCCAGTAACCCCTCGTGCCACCAGCAAATCATTTTACTTTGGAGAATCTGATAGAAATACAGTGCAGAAGCTTCGCCAATGGGCTTCCAGCCAGTCTCTGATATCCAATGAACCCACTGTCTCGCTGTCCTCTGTTTCTCCCGGGATGTACTTTGATTTCACCTGCCAGCTGCTGGCCAAGGCTGTCATGGATAGTCGTTGTATCCTACTGAAGGTGCTTTCTACTATTTTACCTTTAATCTGAACCTTCAAAATCATTGAATCTTAAATAAAATTTGTTCAACTGACAGTTTCCCAATTTGAGCAGGTGTGGGATGGGACCAAGTGTGAACATCCCCTACTGAACATCGCAGTTGCATCCGACGCATTAGTAGGAGAATCCACTGCTGCTAAAGACAGGATGAACCTGACAGCCAATGTTCTGGTCTATGACAATCACATGGAGGCAGCTCAAGACTTAAAGGTGAGTTTTGCCATTGATCTTGCAGTGGTTCGATAGCAAGAGTGACATGTTGAACGTAGTACGTCCTGGTTACAGTCATACTATATAGAACCATACTTTTTAACGCTCACTAAGTGACAGTTTGAGATTTCAGACGCAACCCTTTGTAGAAAGGTCTTTCAGGAGCAGGATTCGACACCCTCGTTCTATAGACTATATTGCCTGTTGGTTTAAAAACATGTTTATAAGGACAAATTTTGTCAAGCTTTAATGGGAAACAACTTGGGTGCATTTCCTGCAAGAAAGCCTATTCTACAGAAGCATTAATCTCATTTGATCAGCCTACAATGAGCGTCCCTTATGATACTGTTACTATTAATGCCGGTTTGAAATATCCATCGCAGGAGACCCACTCTCCTACTCCAGCACTTTTAATGATGAATTAGGTGTCAGGTTGGACACTTGTGGGCACATCTTCTCATGGTTTATTTGGGAGGCGTTCATTCCACTTCAGTTTACTGATTGTGTTTGCTGCTCTCACTTCAATCCTGCCTTGCCTGTTTCCATTGAAAAAACCCATCAAAATGTCCTCTCCAATTGATTGTCTTATAACGGCTTTTGAAACGCATAGTCTCCAGAACTACTGGCTACATTTTCGTCTTCCTTTTTATAAATATTTAAACAGGAGCAGGGCTGTAAATGCTGCTTTTGAGCCAGATTGTTACTTTTCTTTTTGTTATTGTACGTTTTTGGTTTATTATTGCAATATTTATTTTCAAAGAGGATGGTGATTTGTGTTTTTGTTTTAAGCAGTACTGCATTTTCTTTTGGCTCTCAACATAGTGGTTCTTTTGAATATATACACTGTGTGAGTTATGAACAAAGGTGGGTGGAGTGAACCGAGTGTTCAAAAGAAGGAACAGCGAGTTTCTGTCTATTCAAGTTCATGACCCCTGCCTTCATTATATTTTTAACTAGAATATATGTAAGTGGTCTAATTAATTCCTCAACTGTTGTAGTCCACTGCGTTGTAGCCTGTAGGACACCCTATGTGTTGTTTTGTACAGTCCCTGTAAGACCTCTTGAATGTCATCATGGAACAGCGCTATATTACATTATGTCTTACTTAAGCTTTGCTTTTTGGGATGGTTCATAGTTCATGTTTAGCCTAATGTCTGGTCCACTTTGCAACTTAAAGTGTGGTCACATTACCAAAATTTTACTTACAAAAATGGGTCCATTGTCAGTTTTGAGATGTATGAAGCTCTGCTCACACAGAAGTCACTTTCAAACCAAGCAGGTTTCTGTTGGTCAGTGGCACAAATTCACGTGATCAACTTGAATGTGAAGGAACTTTTTCGCCCTCACAAAAATCCCAATTATGCTTATTCCTATTCCTATTGTAATGACTGGATTTTGCCTGCAAAATTTTGCTGAGCAATGGTAAATGTGATAGCAGCTTTATTCTTGCTAAGAACCACTGGCACGGCACATGAACAATGCATTAGGGCAGTGGTGTAGGTTTGATTTTGAAATTGGAGGGGACGGGGACATCGATGTATAAATAGGTGTATATCACTGGATATCGGTAGGGACACGTCCCTAGTGTCCCTACTCAATTCTACACCCCTGCCTTAGGGTATTTAATAATCAAAGTACCAGTAAAATACTCGATAAATAAAGGATTTTTTTGGTAACTTAATCCCCAATGATCCAAAATGCTATTTAACCACTAAAGATTGCATTGAGTCAGAATATTTCCCCACCATTATCAATATCCTGAGTGAAATCATCTCTAATATTGTGTGAAATTGCTTGAGCTCAGTGTTGAGGAGGGAGAAAAGGCGAATAAAGCCAGCCATTAGGATTAAGTGGTCTGAGAGAGATAGCTTTATGACAGAGGAGAGAGAAGGCCAAATCAATACGGCTGTCATGGCCTTCATTGAGGGGGTTTGCACACACACTTTGTTGACTTCGACTTACAACATATATCACTCACCCTCCACACGTTATATAGGTGTAGCGTGGCACACATTAAAGGAGACATACATCCAGGAAATTTTTTCTGTTTTATAACAAATCACCTGGAATGTTCCACTTTAATGGCAATACTTTTCTACTATTTTGACTTTTTGTTCATCATTCTTTGTGGTGAAAGGCATGTAAAGGCCTATTTTAGTCTTTTAGCCTCTTTTCAGAGTTAGAATTACTTTTGTGTTTCCTCCCAAACACTGGATCTTCTTGAGGAATCTCTGAGGACACACCAGATCTTTCACCTATTGGTTCCCTTTCAAGGCGGTCACTTCGACATTTACGTCGATGACGTAGTATGGGAACTCCTCCCCTTCTTCACTTCTGCTGAAATCTTATGGGCTAACGCCAGCTGACGACAGCTGGCCAATTGACGCAAAATATGCAAATATTGCCTAGCCTGGCAGTATAAATTGCATATTGTTCGTCGATTGCATCAGAATCCTTTTCTTCACGCTCAAATCGACGTGTGCTACGATTTGGAATTACACTACCTTTCGCCGTCGTCGAAGGTGCACTTAAGATACTCTACTGTCTTTCGCATCCGATGGCATCTACTTGCAATTTGTGTTCTGGGCCTATTATTGCGCCCGACACCCACCTTTTCTGCATCACCTGCATGGGCCTCGCCCATGCCGAGTCGGCTCTGTCTGACGACCTCTCCTGCGCCCACTGCGCAGACATGCCCGTGCGCGCCCTCAAGGCAAGGAGGGATATGGCTCGAGCAGCCGTAGGGATTGGGCCCGCTGCCGCCTGCGAGCCGCTGGTGGGCCCTTCCCCTCCCAGGGTAAGGGAGTTCGAAGCCGTCAGCTTCGCGGACGATAGCTTCCGCCCCCCCGCGACGTCGCGGATTTCATCTCCTTCGGAGCTAGCGAGGAAGAGGACGCTATGTCTCTATCAGCGTCGGAGAAAGACTGGGGATCCGAGCAGGCCGCGCCTACTGAGCAGGAAAGTCCTGCAGACCTCCAAGAGGAGCTTTTCAGAGTCCTTACTAAGGCCGTCGCCGATTTGGACCTTTCCTGGAACGCGCCGGACGAACAAGCTAAAAGCAAAATGGATACCTGGTTCCTTCAGTCGAGCCGCCGTCAGGCCGCGTCGAGGAGGGGAACCCCGTTTTTCCCGGACCTTCATGAGCACGTGGTCAAGTCGTGGGCTGCGCCCCAGTCAGCACGCAGTCTTTCTGCCACCCAGTCCTTGTTCGCGCACGTCGACGATGCCGTTGCCCACGGTTATGTGCGCATGCCCATCGTCGAGGAGACCGTCGCCTCTCACCTATGCCCATCTACGTCTGCACTGGGCGCGGACCGCAGCCTGCCGTCCAAGCCCTGCAGATTCACGGCCCACCAGACGGATAAGGCGTACGCGGCAGCGGGAGAGGCAGTTTCAGCTCTCCACGCTATGGCTATCCTCCAGGTATTCCAGGCGAAACTGCTAAAGTCTCTGGATGGCGTCGCCTCTGTCGACGCTGACGCCTTTCGGGACCTTCGCTCGGCGACGGACTTTGCGCTGTTGGCCACTAAACGCTCAGCGCAAGCTATCGGTCGTTCTATGGGTTTTCTGGTCGTCCTCCACAGACACCTGTGGCTGACTCTGTCCGATGTTAAAGATTCTGACCGGAAAACCCTGCTTAATGCTCCCATCACCCAGGCTGGTCTCTTTGGGGACGCGGTGGAGGCTGTTACGGAGCGTTTCTCGGAGACCCAGAAACGCGCCAAAGCCATGAGTCACGTGATCCCGCGTCGAGCACCCCCGTCTCAGCAGCGTTCGCGCTCGTCTTCAGCTACTCGCCGCCCTCAGAGCTCAGGGAGTCAGCCCACAGTGCATCGCACCGGGCCGGATGCTCGTGCTTCCCGGGGAAGACAGTGGCCAGGTCCTGGGAGGAAGAGCCATGGCCAGAGAAGGAGCCCGCGCCGAGGGAAGGACAGCGCGCCCCCCTCCGCGCCAAAGCCGTCTTCCTGACGGATTGGGCAAGAGGAAGAGAGAGCGCGAAGGGGGGCCGGCCTCCAAGCGCCGTGTTCATCGTATCCCTCATGTTCTGTTGAGAGACGATCGAATGTGTGTAAATGCTGTTTGTTCAATAAAAGCATGTACCCCTTCACAAAAAGAGCTTTTTCTTCCTCTTGCACCTCATATTGTGTCACCCACCCTTTCACGGGACAGTGTAGGGCCACAATCTATGACTATAATGGCATCTCATGGGCAAGAGATTGCCAGCACCACACTCAGCCCACCGCGAGCCGCCCTCCCACCAAGGGTTTCTGCCTCGCGGGAACGCGGCTCCAGTCTAAACACTACACTGGTAGCGGCTATGACCACAGTTCGAGCTCGCACTCTGAGTCATTTTCTGGGCGCGTGGGAATCAATTCCCGGGATTTCCCCATGGGTGTTAAGCATAATTCGTCACGGGTACTCGCTTCAGTTCAGACGCAGACCGCCCCGCTTCAACGGCGTGATCCAGTCATTAACACTGCCCCAAAACGCCCCCGTTCTGAGACAAGAAGTGCTCAGCCTGCTCGAGAAAGGAGCTATAGAACCGGTTCCCCCGAGCGAGAGGGAGAGCGGTTTCTACAGCCGCTATTTTGTGGTACCGAAGAAAGGGGGGGGGCTCCGTCCGATCTTGGACTTGAGACCCATAAACAGAGCGCTTCACAAGCGCGCGTTCAGAATGACAACTCTGAAGCAAATTCTGGCACAGGTTCGTCCCGGGGATTGGTTCGCTTCAGTGGACTTAAAGGACGCGTACTTTCATATCCAGATAGCAGCGCGCCACAGACGTTTTCTGAGATTTGCGTTCGAGGGCACAGCTTACCAGTATTCAGTTCTCCCGTTCGGATTGGCTCTTGCCCCCGCACCTTTTCGAAGTGTGTGGACGCGGCGCTGTCTCCCCTCAGGTCGAGCGGAATGCGCATCCTAAATTATCTGGACGATTGGCTGATTTTAGCCCATTCGCGAGAGGTGCTAATCGGTCATGTGGAATTATTTCTCCGTCA